CACGAATGAGTTTTCCTCGTTTGCAGTATTTGTGCGCTTGACTAGCAACTGGCATTCCAAACTTGGCAATATGGTTTTTAGCAATAACATCCTTAATTTTTAACATGAACTCCTTGGTGTAAATGGTTAAAACACGCATATTTAGCAATTTGGGCAGATAAAATCCAGAATGCAACAGCAGCGAGAAATTGTAGCATCCTTATCACACTGCGTTTTTATAATGGTCTACGTCACTTCAACTACTCGTGAACGAACAACGGTAGTAAACCCCACAAGTGGTATATTCAGATACCCCCATCACTACTTCAATGCTTTATTCCTCAAATATATATATATATTATATATATTATATATTTGTATATATTATCGTGTAGAAGCCCGGTTTTACAGCTATGCCAGAGAACAGAGCTTGTGCAAGTCGGGATTCTGTTTCAGGGTATTTTGCTTTCGATCGTGATCAACGTGCTTAGCACATTAAAAAGCCGGCAGACGGTCGCAGAAGACATGAATTATTAGAGCAACATAATCGATAATCGGTACGAGTTTCCCACAAAGTTGGATAGAATGGGCTCAACTGGGTAAACATGATATACGTCATTGGTCAACTCTCAGATACGTTTTCACAATGGTAGATGTATGGGACAATAAAGTTTCGCAATATTCCTCTCCGATGGCTGCAATAATTTGTCACATTCTGTCTAAAGGAAGGGTAAGCTTGGGCCTTGATCAGAGGAGCAGATTTGTTCGAAGGAAAAAACTGCATTTGTTCTGAAATCTAGTCTTCTATCTGAATTGTGAAAAGTTCAGCAAGTGGGTTTTGAACCCATGCACGGACATTCCCTACGGTCCCGAACAGCGCACACGCTGCCAGCTTTGCCACTATGCCATACCAGTAGTACTGATACTTTCACATTTGGATTACACATTCAACTTAGAGAAGAAATTGGAATCCATCATGTAGCACGTGACCCGACGATCATGGCAGACGTTTCTTATAGCCCATAATGAATTTTATCCTTTCTTTTATTCGATATTCTACATATATTAAATACAGGAGTTATCAAAATTCACTTAATCCGAACACTGTCAGTTGAGCGCGAACTGCATTGCGTCATGCTAGAGACATGGTCAGCCATATTTGTGTGCACAACT